AGAAAATGAAAACCCATGTAATTCAGGGAACACATTGGATTATAACAAGTTTTAATGTTTTATCCTTTCTCTCTTCACCCAGAGCTAAACACACATTTGTACCACAGTACCTCTGCAGTACCAGCTGAACTGCAGCATAACACAACTTCCTCTCATAATGCAACGTACCACAACTTCCTCTTGTCATTTCCCAGCATCTGGGGGGAGTCAACCCCGCTCACACTGCCCAAACCCCGTCTCTCAGCTGTGAAGGAACTTGGGACAGGATAGGGACAGTGACTCTGTGGAAACTTCCACAGGAATTCATCCAATGTGTCATGTAAAATGCAAAATACTGCATGAAATCTGAATGGAGGAATGTGGGGCTGGAACAAATATCATGCTGTCTGGTTCACCTTGTCTGTGGTGGGGTGAGAGAGTGCAAAGTACTGAGAGCAGCCATGTGACACCTCTAGATTGACTAGACTTCTAGCTGCCTGGGCTCTCATACGATCCCCTAAAAATAGCCCCTTATGGTTCCCATCATTGTTTGTCCAGCTATTTTAATTAGCCTGTGGTCTCTGGTTTTTGCTTTGCAGTTTGTAAATGGGAAATATTTACACTAGGCCAGTAACCCCACATTCTTCCAACCTTTTCTTAAGTTAGATAGATTATAGCTATGTTTATAAATTACCTAATGCGTTCGGCCTAGTATCTCTAAATGTCACTGGCTTCTACATAATGTTTTTAATGAGAACTAATTTTAGATCACTCAGACTATTTACAGATATTTTTTCCCACATCTGATATGTCACAAGTGTGCTCATTTCTTAAACTTTAGTTGAAAGGCTGGTTTATTGCATGTCCTGGCACAGGCTGGACCTGTCCTGCAAACTGCAAAGTGATGTCAGTTTTTGCTGGCATATCCTGATGAGAGGGGAAAGATTTCCAAGGAAAATCGATGCCCAGAAGGCAGATAGGTACTTAGCATGTTTTTTGGCTATTTAAGGTAGTGCAAACCCTTTGGAAAATGGGCCCAGGTAGAAGAGTGCTTTGCAGGCTTAATCATTACTTGTAGATTAATTTAGCCCTCTTCTGCTGTTTAATGCTCTCTGCAGTTAGTTTCTTTATTGCCACATCTATCTTCCACTCTTGGCAGAGTGTTTAATAGTGAAGCAGTTATGCAAAGGCATCTTTCTGGGGTTCTTCAGGTGCAATCACTGTATGTGAGGTGGATGTGTTACTGGTAAAACATGACTACTCCTGACTGAAATGTCAGTTTGATTTGGGGGAAATAGGCAGGATGAGCTTGTCACTGACATCCTTGCCAAAAGTGTCCCTGAGGCTGTGTTTTTAGAGTCCTTCTAGTCTACATTCTGTCCCCAAAAGCCAAAAGAGAGATGCTGAGCCCCAGACTGGTGCCATGGTCAGGCACTTCACAGAGTTTTAGGATGAGTGCTCCAGGCTGGAATCCAGACATGTTGTTTCTGAGTCAGCTGAGTCTGGGTGCTATTGATGGCACAGCAGCAGGGAGAGGAGATCAGGAGATCAGAAATTCTTTTAAATTTGTATTTAAGGTCTTATTCACAGATGGACAAAAAGATTGTGGAAGCAATGTCTGCCAGTGATCATAAATGCAGTCAAAGCCAAAATGTAGCAAAGTTCGTTGGTTTCATAAGAAATCTGATTTCAGAGAAGAAACATAACATTTTATTTTTTTTAGGAATTAGTATCTTTTATTACTTTCTGATGGCAGGATGAAAATAATTGTGACTTTTTTTATTAAACACCATATTATAAAATTATGAAAGATAGAATTAAGGAAATTTTTCTTTTTGTTGAGTCCTTCTCAGATTTCTTCCAGAGCTTCCTTTTGCAGAGAGTTTTTACTTTGCTAGGTTTCATTCAAAGCTTCAATAAGGACAAATAGGGAAAAAATGCAGTGGCTTAAAAAAATTCCTTGTCAGAAATCTAGGAGTCCCCAGAGTTGGGACCAATGAACTGCATCTTCTGGCAAGGTTTGAACCCCAAGGATTAGACCTGGAGAGAGGCTGTGGATGAGTCCTGCATCTGTCTCATTGCACAAATTCTACATAAAGGGTGGATAAGCAGCTCTTCCAGAGGGGTGGAGAAATGTCCCCAAGGAAAGAGACCATAGGACTGCTAATGGTTCTCAGGTACTGGGGACCTTTATGTCCTCACATACATCTTCTCAGCTGGGTTTGTCAGGACAGAATCTGGTTCAGACCAGGATGTGTAAGGGGCTGCACACAGACAGAGAGGAATATGACCCATTTCCCCTGATACCGTGTGCAGCATATAGAAGGAGGTGCTGGCAAGAAAATGCACCCTTGATCTTGTTCCCCTTTGGGAGAGAAAATACCTGAACAATTCCCTGCTTCGCTGCTTTTGTATGACCCAGAGGCTGCTCTGTCCAGCCAATGTTCTTCACTTACCTACACACCTTGTCCAGTGCCCAAAGATCACATTATTCCACTCCCTGTGATAATAGTCAACAAATCATTCAATCTGTGGCTGCCAGGTAAGAACTGAACCTGTGCTGCTCTGCTGAACAAAAAGTGCTGTAAGCAAACAGCTGAAAATTCAATATAGTCCTATTGCTCTCATGGGTTCCTAAATAGACCCCTTGCTTGTTAATGCCTTGAGAATTATAAAACATTTAATTTCTGCAACCAAAACAGTTTGGTGCTTGAGTTTTCCTAGTCCAGGGTGATGTTTTCATATCTGTTTATAATCAGTTCCACTCTTTGGTTTCCATGTACCAGGGACTTTTTGCATGTGATTGGTGCATTGACCCCTTGGGGTCTGAATATTGCTTCTCTGGGATTTGCAGCTAAGGTAACAAAGGAAAAAAACTGTCTCTGTCAGTAGGGCAGAATTCCATTTATTTCCCTGGAGAGAGTGTTGGGATAGGATACAAATCAGAAAAGGCTGAAAGCAACTGCTCTTGTGTAAGGCTCTCTTGTCAGAATTCTCAGCATTGCCAAGCATATGAAGTTTCAAGTGTGTGTGTGAAAGATGGAGTTCATTATGCATGCAAACATACAGGCATTTTCCATTGACATATTCGTGCAAATTGCATACTGTTTTCATACAAGTTTAAAATTTCAATCCAAATTTCTGTCTAAAAAGGTCCAGTGTGATCTGTTATTTCTCGACACTCACTGAAAGAAAGCAGCAGGAATTTTTGCTTTTTAAATTTCCTGGGAGCAGGATAACAACATCTAAGTGCCACTGGGTTGTGTTTCCTGTGTGTTACTCAGTAATTTTCCCCAGAAGTGGTTTTATTTTAATGGCAGGCCATCTGATCCCAGAGTCTCATCTGAACACTGAATTAGCAAATATTTATTGTCACAGTATTTGAACAAGTTTTATGCCTATTCCAAGATTTGAGCCCTTTCAAAGCTGGAGCCTGTGAATCACATTTATCCTGATGAATAATGTTAACCCCAGTTGCTTTCATGTGAGAGGCCTGTTTTGAATTTTCCAAGCAATCAGCCAACCTTCCTGCATTAGAAGTTACCATTTCTACAGGGATCTTCCTAGTTGTGATTCAGCCTCTCAGCAGTTCACAAGTTCAGGGCTTACAGAAAGCAGGGCTATACCTGCCTCTCTTCATAGACAGCAGAGATAGGTTTATTTTTAGCACAAGTATTCCAGAAATACATTCCTCCCCTCTTTAGAAATCTGTGGGAGAGACAAACACACATACAGACAGTTTTGCTGACATTAGTGGCAGTGGGTGCCTCAAAACTACCTTTTCCACTGTCTCTTGTAATCCCAAACACCTTTTTCAGTGTGCACCAGTTCTCTCCTGTGTCTCAGGCCATAGGTGTCATGACTCATGATACAGCAGACCTTTGTGCATGAGGGCTCTTACAGGTGCAGAGTGTGGGCAGCTATTTGAACTCTGTAATTCCAGGCCAGAACTTGGCACTTAGAAGTGCCCTGTTGGCTGGCAAAACCAAAATTCAGTTTGGGATTAGTTAGGAGAAATACTTGAGCACCAAAAGCCCAGACTAGGACTTCAGGAGAGTCATCTTTGCAAAACCTTCCTGCTGGAGTCTCAGGTTAAAACTATACCTCCCTCAGGTCGGGAATTCAAAGCAGAAGGTTGGAGAAGGCAGGTCATTGTCCCTCCAAGCAGGGGCTGCTCTTGGCTCTCAGGAAGAATTAGTTCATCACAAGTGTCCTGGTGCTTGGAGATTCTCAGGCAGCAGAAACTTGCTCCAGCTCTTTTCAACATGCAAATGACCACTGGGCTCACATGGAGTCCTGCTCTGCCATGGAAGCAGGAGTTGGGCTGTAATCACAGGAGATCCTGCTCTTCATTTTGCTGTGGGCCATGGTTCAAGTCCAGCATGATGCTGAACCCCAGGAGAGTCCATGACTCCAGTAAGGAGCTGTGCACATCCATTGTTCAGATCTGCAGTACAAAAACATAGCTTGTTGACTTCATGGCATATTTCCCCCACTATCCAACATCCTATTGCAGTGCTCTGAATAAAATCCAATGCTGGCATGTGCCTTCCAGCAGGATGGCTGATCTTGTGTGCTTTGGAAGGACAGTGGAAGAGGTCCTTACTCCAAGAACTCCAAGAACACTGGCTACATGTGTCCAACCTCGATGATGAAATGAGCTATTTATGAAAAAGCACCCATAGGACAGCAATGTGTTACTCGTGTGCATATGTACACAGTATTTTTAGTGATGACCCTAATAAACACTTTGCCTCCCACCTGTAGGTACAGAACTGCAGTGCCCTAAGGTTTGATTCACTGGCAGCAGCGGGCCCATGGCACAGCATTGCTGTCTGTGTTAGTTATCTCTGAAGAATTACCAATGGCCAATCTGAATGTAAAAATAGCTGATGACTGTTTGTTTCATCTGTCTGTTACTCGACACCGCGTGGTTATTCCAATACGTATGTTTGCCTCTTCCCCACCATGATCTCCGTTTGGTTTCCCCTTGCCTTATAACTATTTAAATACATTTTACTAACTTCAGATTCCTTGCTCATTTCACTTCACCTGGCTGAGCAGGTCTGTGACGGCTCAAGGGCTAGCTCCTCCACTTTTATTATTTTATTTATTTTTCAGTCATCGTTTTTATTAAAATAACCATGTTCAGAGGAAGAGTCCGACACACATAAATAATGGGAACTGCTAATAGTAAGCAGGCTGCTCTAAAATGTGCTGGGGCTTTGACTTAAGGGAAGAAAGCACAGCCCTGCATTGTCCCTATCAGGAAGCTGGAGCACAGAAGGTAAGGGGGAAGCATATGGGTGTTTTTAAAACAGGGAAATTGTGGAAATGGTGGTTTCTGAGTGTGTGAATGTGTGTGTACCCAAGGATCAGTAAAGTGAATGATCAGATCGGAGAAATCAAACAGCAATTTTAAAAAATTAAATATTTTCTTCAGTGGTTAGAGGTGAAATGTCCTTTCATTTTGTCCAACTTTTTTTCTTTTTCTCAGAGAAATGCAGGATTGTCTCTGAAAGTCTGTGTGTGGAAAGAGATATATACACAGATTTGTTTGCAGTGAATACTATTTATGACATGTTATTATTTTGCAAAGGGGCATGATCTTTTTAAAAGAACACTAAATTGATATGAAGCTGCATTTAATTCTTGCACATTGTGCTGTAAGCAACTTTAAGGAAATATACATGGGTTTTACTTTCCAGGTGATTACTGCCTACAGATAAGCTACTCTTTAAAACTTTAGTGATTTGTATAGGGTTTGGAAGGCTGTTGGATGTTTCTTTTTTGGATGTTTTTGGGAACAAATAAGAATAGAATAATTTAAATATTTTATAAAAAGTAATTACCTTACAACAGAGCCTGAAAAAGTAAGATAGTTCATAGCTCACTAAGATAGCACTTATGCAGTGCTAAGAGGCCACTATAAATGACTGTGACTACGACTTGTATCCAGTTTTAATTGTTGGAAGATTTTTTAAATGGCATAGGCTTTTCTTACTCCTGTTGTTGCAGAAATTCTTAGTCTGCTATCCCAAGGAACTGCATTTTATTAGTCTAGCTGCAGAACTCAGTAGTAAAAAAAGAACAGAAATAATTAAAATTGAGCTTGGAGAAGCCAAACTGCTTATGCTCTTTTAAATGGCTTGTGAACTGTCAATCTGATTAAATCTGAATAGAGAAAAGTTTCCCAGCAGCAGACCAGAGTGACTGGTTCACACTGAATTTGTACAGTACCAGCTAGAGGGTTCCTCTCTAGTCGTCTGCCATTTCTGGGAGGGAGGCAGGGGAGAAGGAAAAGAGAGAAGAGAAAAGAAGAACAAATAAGCTTTATGAACAGGATCAAAGTCTGTGGCTCTCTTCCTTCACTTCTTCAAGGAACTGACCACTTAAAAAGCAAATGTCCTCAGTTAAATGCTTGAAGGATGAGGTCTGTGACAAATACTAAGATGTAAAAGATTCCCAGTACACTGGAGCCTCAGCTACATTTCTCCATCCTTCCATGCTTGTCATTAGGAAGGTAATTATATACACATTCTCAGCTTAGTTACCAAAACAGTTGTAACTTGGCCGCAGCTGGGTGGAAGTTTGCAGGTGTAATTGCATCCCTGCACTGCAAGCCAAAAGCACGTGGAAATTTTGCTCTGTAGCCTCTTATTCCTCCTACCTGCTTCTCTGAAATGCTTGTCTCACCTGCACTTGCATTACTAGTGCTGTGGAAAAGGTCCACAAAAGTGTTAATCTCTCCAAGACTAGAAACAAAGTGAACTAATGCTATGAGCCGTGTCGGGAGAAAATTCCACTCTTCTGTATCAGTCTTTCTTTAGTCCAGCTGAGTTACACACAGGGAAAGTTGCTGGCAGAGGCAAATTCTGCAAGTGGTTTTTAGCTGCAAGCTTGCCTGCAGCTGGGCTGCCAGGTCACACAGAGCTTTGGCTACCCCGAGCGAGAGGGTGAGTTCATTGCTTTTAGAGGTAACTCTGCACTGCTTGAGGTTGTGTTGCAATTTGGGATCAGCTGTCTGGGAGCCAGCTGACAGCTGTGTGGGGAAAGGACCACAGTGAGAGCTGCATGTCTTCACTCAGAGGGGAGCTTTACCCTTGAGATAAGGTTGTTCTTCTTCAATCAAGCCTGTATATGCTTTTGGATGGATTAGTGATTACTCACACAGATCTCAAGTTGTGTGTGTACACGTATATATTATATGTGCATATTTGTGTGTCTGTTGAGCTTGCTGTGTTATGACTCTCTTGCTGCTTGCCAGGTTTTTATGGCTTTCAAATGTGTGTGGTGGAAGAGACTGCCACCAAGACCCCTGTCCTTTAGCAGTCTCAGAGAAATTAAGGCAGCATTGAAGCTGTAGGAGGACAACTCTTACCTAGAAGTAAGGTCTCCCTTGGGTTTCCCTGCTAAATGATCCTCTTTGGACAGGAATAGAAAGCAGCTATTTAATTATAGTTCTAGGTTTCTTTATCATCCATCACCTGTGCTTGCAAATAATAATATTTAAGAAGGCAGTAGATTGTAATGATTAATCTAAATCATCTGGTAACAGTCAGACCCATCTTTTTATGGGCCAAGAAGGTCAAATAGAGATGCATCTTTATTTTCAGCCTCTCACATAGCCAGATCCCATTAGTTTCAAGGATGCTTTCCCTGTTACCTACACACTGTGTCAAAGGCTGTTTTGGGGACTGTGACAAGGCCATGACAATCAGGTACACAAAGGCCACCTAATTCATACTTTCCACTTGCAAAAGACAGATATGAAAAAAACCTGCAGTATTTTTGTGAGTCTCTCAAAGTGATGTACGTGGTTAAAATTTGGCTACAACTTAACATGCAAAGTCAGCTAACAGCAGTCTCTGACAACTTGCAGCTACTGCAGATCCTCAGTCTCAGATATGCCTCTGTCTATCAACTTGACCTGGATGAGGCTTAAGCTGTCATACCTCAAGGCCAGCTTGGCTTGCCTATCCACTTCATTATAGACCCATGTACAGTTTTGCAGTCTTCTGATGGCTTTTGTTGTGTTGAGGTGTATTTCATGTGTCCCAGTCTTTATCCTTTGCATATTTCAGAGCACAGGGCTTCATTGTGCAGAAATTGGGATAAGTGCCCAGGACTGCCCAGGATGCTGCTGCAGAAACATCATACTCAGAGGGAACTGACCTCTGCAAGCTGTGTCAGGGTTTGTGCTGGGGCAGGGGGGCAGCACTCCTTATCATGATGTTGTTCGCTGAGACTCTTTGTTTTGACTGCTCTGCTTTGAAGTAGTGACGTTAGGACTTGCTCTGTCTCTCCAAAACTGAGAAATTAGTCTTTCACCAGGCTTGTGAATTGAATGAAGCCATAGACAAGTAGCTAGAATTGCCACCTCTGTGTTGTGTGTGGGAATTGAGGAGAAGGGATGGGAAAGGAGAAGTAGGTGGTGACAGCAGTAGGTTGATGAGGCTGATGGTGATGCTATTATTTGTCTGCAGGCTTCTTCAGAAGGTCTAGAGAAGCCCAGTGCTGACAGCATCATTGAAGCTGTTGAGACTGACTCTACCAGAGTCATCAGAGTCTATCTCTTGGGGAACAAGTCTGGATTCTGCTTAAAACTCTTGATGTTTCCTTTTCTGTCTTTTGCACATATTCTTTACAGAGTAATCATAAGAAACACCGTAGCAAGTGCATTAACTGTGAAAGAATGAGGAATTGACTTGGGGACACACCATTAAATCATAACAATTAAACAATCTCTGAATAGGGAGTCTGCATTTCCCAGAGCAAAACCAAAACAGCTCCTGTGCACAGTGCAGAAAGAGAGAGCTGGAAGGAACTGTCGTCTTGTTCAGGATGAGATTTTTCTCCTGGCTTTTGCTCCTCAAAAGGACGAAAGAAGTATGGCCTCCAGAGATACCTGGGGCAAGGGTGAGTGGCTCCCCTGCCCTCTCAGAGTCCTCCCATAGATGTGTAGCTGTCCCATGGCCATGTTCCAGATAGCAGGCAGAATGCAAGCCACAGCTTTTGTCCTTCAAATGGAATGGCTCTGTTGTAATCACTAAAGGTTGAGGAGCAGTTTGTCATCAGAGGAGAGATGTTATGTGAAAAAATGGTTATGTGCTTGAGTCATGTGCTCTGGCATGCACTGAGTATTACCCTCCCTGCCACACTGCGTGCTCAGGAGCAGAGCTCTTGGCTGCATTTGAAAGCTATAGCAAGGTGTAAGTAACAAATAGCTCTGTTCCTGCAGCCTGAGACAGAATATTTTGAAAACCAGAGCCTCCACCTTCTCCCTCACCTCTGATACCTACACCTTTTTGTCTTTGGTAACATGTGGTATATTGACTGTCCCTAAATCCTGTGGAATTCAGTGGATGAGAAAACTGCTTAGAAGTTGGAACAATTTTGAACCTAGCACATTTTGAATTCTTTTCATAATAGAAAGCAGATTCAGCAAAGTCTTTGTCCAAATCTTGTAAATATCCAGAAGATATAAAGAAAAAGAGCAGATGAGACTATCAGTAAAAGAATAATCCTTTTTTTCTGCAAGCCTGTTATTTCCTGAGACTGTATCCTGTGTGGTGAGTGTGGGTCAGACTCTCCTTGTCGAGAAGCCTAAATGGTGTAAGTGTAAACTTGACAATGCTGATGGTATCAGTAGGTTGGGGCTGATGAGCAGAGGGCAGAGTAAGTGGGGGATGGTTTCAGATTCCCCAGCCTGGAAAGAGAAGTGAGGCATGGCTTGTTGCTAGCTGCAGATTTCCTCGTGTAGGTCACAGAGGAGAATACACCTGCCTCCCATTTGTGTCTAACATTCTTGTTGATATTATTACAATTTTCCCATGACAGGGACTGGGACAGTCTGGTGTGCTCCTGATAAATTATATTTATTTTCTTGACTGTATATTTTATTTCCTTTCCCTCTTTGTCATCTCCCATCTCTAGCCATTTCAGTGCTGTGATACTCCACGGCATTCCCTCTGCCGTGGGAAAATCTCCTTTCTCCCATTCAGAAAGTGAAAACTCAAATGCTTTTGTCAACTAAGTCTTGCTTGAAACTGAATGGAAGAAGATGAATACCTCTCTCATCAGCCAAAATCCTTCCAGTGCTCAGTGAGGGCACTGTACCATTGTAAGGTGTCAGCTGACACCATCAGCTCATGAGGAAGGCATGAGTTTTAACAATCTTAGGAAGATTTAGGTATCAAGTACCTGAGATGAAGCAGAGATCTTTGCAGTCAGTCACCTCCAAATCTGGCTGGATTTTGCTATACAATGTAATGCTAAGCTACAGCATCATACTCAGTTGAAAGGGGGGGCAGGGGGGGGCTTGCAGAGATTAAAGTACCATGGGTCATGAAGGGCATTGGGAAGGCAGATTTTTGCCTTACCTGAGAAAGGTTAACCTCTTCTTATGCAATTCAGAAAACACAGATTTTGTTCCCTGCCCTGCCACATATGCCCTCTTTGATACTGGGCAAATCAGCCACTTGAAGCTAAGCCTTAGCTGCTGGTCTGAAATGAGACACAGATCCTGCTTGCAGTGGGAGAGTTTGCAAAGATAAATAGCCACGAGGTGTTCATGTACCATATTGCTGGGGACCTGTATAAATATCTTGGTGTATGGTGGCTGACCTAGTTACAGACAGTGGCCTTTTCCAGGCAGACATTTAATGCCAAGAAACACACTGTTTGGGTTCAGTTGCTTAAATGTCACTTGTCTGTGCTGACTTCAGGTCGTGGGAGGAGCACCATCCCTTTTGCCTTGTGTTTCTCATAGATTTGTGCTGTTTGTCAAGTGCTGCACCTGCCCTTGGCCTGTGTCAGTCATGTGCTCTGTGTGACTTCCCCTGTCATGTCTGCATGCTACTGGCTCTTCAAAGGCACTGAACCAGGAGTGGCAAGAAAGCCTCGGTCCAGATACAACCCTTTCTGAGAGACATCTCCTTCTTCCAGACTTAACAGGCCTGTTGGCAGGATGGGGCATTTGGAGGACATTGGGAAAGGCAGTCCGGAGACCGGCTGGAAATAACTGTTGGGTCTTTGCCACTGAAGCAGAAAGGGAAAGGTAGAGACACTTGCAGTCTCTGTTCCTCCCATTTTTCTTCATGTGAGGTCTTCATCTTCCAGTGTTTGAAGCTTTGTGGTCTGAGCTGGAAAGGTAAGCGTTTCAGCTGAGGCTGCAAGAGGTTCATCTCCTTTAAGGAAAGGACACAGCAGGATACAGAACACACAGTCATTAGCTAGGTACATTTCTTCCTTGTGTTCATACTTCCACCAGCCTACAATGACCTTCCTTGAACTGATGAGTCCCCCCTTCCAGCTCCCATTGGAACAAATGAAGTAGCTGCAGTAGAGCTCACTGGAAGAAAAAGACCTAAGTTATTTTTTTCAGAAAAAAAATAAGAAGAGGTATGATTAAACAAATAAAATCGCAATCATATTCATTTTAATGTCATTTCCCCTAGAAAGATAATTGGAAATTTATAGGCTTTATAATTTGAAATATTTACTTAGGGAAATTTCAAAACAAGATCACACTCTCTGTTGCAGTACCATCAGAGTATTGTTTGACATAAAAAATAAAATTAAAGGTTTCAGTAAATGTTAACTAGCATACACCCTCTTTGATTTAAAGACAGTAAAAACATACTATTATAACTATTATAGTATTGTATTATATAGTATTATAGTATATATCTTGCATAGTTATTTCTCACAGCCTTTTTTCACTAAAAATGGTGAACTAATCTAAAATTTTTTAAAAGTTTTTTTTTCTAATTCTAAATGAAATTTTTAAATTCTCAATTTAATTTCTCTGCGGAATCTTTGTTTCATTTAAAATTTCAAAAGCTCTTTGAATGAGAACAACCTCCCCTAACACATACATGAACATATTTCCAAAAGTTGATATTGTCCACATGATGGCAATTCAGTTTGGCAGCCAGCTCTCCTGGTGCAGTCTGGAACTGTACCATGCTTACCCCACCACTCTTAGGTCTATGTATTCTAATGAATATTGCAGAAAAGAGCAAAATTACTTTGTCCCAAATGTACTGCTATTTTCAGTGATGGGCAATACAGGTTAGAAAATCAGAATTATCCAGAGGGCACGATTTGGTGGCATAGAAATGTGGTATTGTTTCCAACCCCTCTCCTTTGGATATTAGTCTGAATACCATGGGGGTGAGGTTTGGCTCTTTGCAGATGTTGAATTTCACTTTACTGTGGTTACAGTTGCATATGTAGCTTCTGCATAGTGCAACCCGCGCTGGCTGAGGAAGTAGATGTATTCAGTCACCAATTCTGTTCTCAGTTATTCTACTGACGTCTGTAAAATGACTCGAGATTTATACCAGTGTAACTGAGAACAGAAGTTGGCCCAAAGTCAAGAACAGTCTCTCCTCTTCTCTGGCCCAGAACAAGCCGTTCGAGACATAATCGCCAGGCCAAACCCTCGAGGGGAATGGACCCAGTTTCCTACACTGGTTTGGTGCAGACACATGGTTTCTTTGCCTCGCTTTCCAGTGCAATGATCAAAGATCTGGTGCTGGAATAGCTGAGGTCACCTTGTTCTACGCTACTGTTCATTTCTGCCAGTGTCTGGGATTTTCACCCTAAGCTGGAGAGATCCACTTCTCCATCCTCCATCTGCTGTGGTGGGTATTTCTATTTGAGTAAAGTGGTTCCTCTTTCACCAAACAAGATAATTCACTTTGGCTTCCCTTTATGACTACGAAGAATTGGTGAAAGTGATCTTGTTGGATGAGGGAAACAGAGGCTTGTGCTAATAGATTTCATTTTATGGCCACCTCAGTCTAGAAACTGCCTTTCTTGACAGTTCTTGTAGATGTGGCTTGAGCCTCTCTTGGAGGCAGCTCCCCTGCTTGTTGAGGGTGTTGTGATCCTCCCCTGGGTCCACATGTTAACTCCCTGACACCTGTTTGTTTTCCTAAATTCGCAATGAAGACATCAGTGCTGTGATCATCGACCAGCAGCAGCACACTCCGTAGTCATTCATGTGCTGGTCACTGCTGCCCTGCAGGGTTTTCTGGCAATATCCAGGGGACCTCACTGCACCAGCCCCACTTGGGCTAGGGAGGAGCTGCCATCGGCTGGGAGCACTGTCTCAGCTTGATGATTTTTCCCATCCAGAGCTCTCATCTGATTTTGAAGTGCTTGTGTGCCATGAACAAATATAAAACTATGCAAAACAGTCATCAATTCATTAGGGATTCTCCTATTTCCCATGATAAGGAGCATTAACTATTCATTGTTATTATGAGCCCCTGGAAACTTAAAGAAGCAGCATGTGTGGAAGTAGAGCATGAATAAACATCAGCCAGCAGTCACCACAAGGCTCTCAGTGTTGGGCTGGAGCCGTGGATGGATGCCGCAGAGAGAGCACCACATGAAGAAACCAACTCACAAAGATTAAAAAAAAAATCTTTCCTTCTCATTCTCGTGAGTAATGCAGTGCTGCTGACTTCAGACTGCTGTGCAACTCCCAAGGGCGCTGCCAAAATGCCACTGTGATGTCTCATGGCATAACCCTTCAGCCAAATACCAGCCAGGGGGGTGGGGGAACCAACTGGCCCTTTATATATTGCAGCAGCAGTGATGTCATACGCTCCAGCCAAGTTTGCTGGTTTACCCAGCTCCTGCCTAGTGAAAAAAAAGGCTGACATTCAGTCTGTGCCAGGCCAGGAATAGTATCTGTAATTTAACCTCCTCATCACAACCTGCTAGGCACTTAAGAGAGACACTGAAAAAAAGCCTCCTATTTAAAAGAGAGGGGAGGTTGCTTTCTTATTAAACTGCTTGAAATCTGTGTTCATGCAAACTTTTTCAGTAGTTGGTATCAGATGATGCCTACTGCCAACACTTCACACATTTCTCAGCATTTCCAAGTGGTCTCAGATGCCCAGCATTGCTTTCCTCTTTCTTTAACATACACTAAATTCAGATATCCTTAAATGTTTGTACTAGCTGAATCCTGACCGTAGCTCAAATATTGCACCTTGCCTGTTAGCTGCCATGTTTGTCCAAAAAGGTAAAGAAATGGGACTTTACCAGGTTATTAAACCAGTCAGGAACAGCTTCTTTGCCTAAGAAGTTGTTCTATTTATACAAGAAATAACTACATCAGGACAGTGCTGCTCTTTCCAGCCAGTCCCAATAATGGTCTGCACCTTGAACACTTGGTGCAGATACAGTTTTTCCAGCTTGAAACATTACACTTCACAAGCACTCATATTATGTCCAGGCAGGACAAGGATTGTCACAAGGGTTTCAGAGACGGTGGCAGTCACTATTCTTTCCTTAATCAGTGGCGCCGAGTTGTTTTTGTAACTGTGACTCCATCTAGGAAAGTAATTGCTGAGATTACATCATGATCTCTGTGTTTATAGTTACTCTACTCGCTTTTCAGCAAAAGTTATCAGTTTACAAGGGACAATATATTTCTCCAGACCTCCGTCCATGAGATCTGAAAGCCAAGATTCCTCCTAGCTCAGGCACCAGCACTAAGTACTGATAAACATTGTGCTACTGGAATGTAGTCAGCAGCCCCGTTAATGAGTGAGACAGAACTTAATCACCACCTCCCATGTCTGTGTTGGCTTTGCACAGTTAAGAGTACCAGAGAAGCAGTAAAACTGTAATTTAACCTCAGAGCAAAGAGAAAACTGACTGCACATCTCTGGAGTGGGGATACCCTTTTACATCTGGCTGCAACCAGACGTAGCACTGTTTGTTGTTTGTTTGCTTTTTTTTTAGTTTTACTTATTTTTTCTTTTTACCCACACATCTTAGACAACAAAAAGCTGTGATTGTTTAGGCTTATCCCTAAGCACACTGATAATTGCCATTCCTCAGCAAGGTGCAGGACACAATCACAGTAGGTGAGCCCTTTTTGCCACTTTTGCCAGTAGGTTTTGAATATTATGAGCTGACTCAAAAGTTTCCTTTGAGAAGACTGTGCTATCTGCATTACCTCAGGGCCAGACAGTTCTCCTTGTAGGAAATTGGTATATTCTCACAAAGATTAGGCAAACTGGCCTGAACCTCAGAGGTTTCCACAGCAGAAGAATGGCAGCAATTCATGGCTGAGCTTTCCTTTAGTATCTCCTGCCTCTGGTTCATGCGTGGAAGCAAAAAGTTGTTTTGTTTACTGCCCCTTACCATGCCAGCTGTCCATCTTTCATCTCCTGTACCACAGGGAAAGTGAAAACCACGGACTTTGAAACCTCAGCTGCACCAGTTCCAAGTCTACCAGACTGATGTCTGTATTTGTTGACAGTAGAAAGCCATATACAGATGGAGTGGAGGCACATATTTTCCTCTGAGTCCTTCTGAAAGGGTAGCACAGCAGGGAAGAATTCTTCTTTTTAGCCGGGAGTCATCACCCAGCCTTTGCAAAGGGCACAGTGCCAGGAAATCATTGCTCACTCAGCTGCCAGTCCCTGCTGGGGCTACCAGAGTGCTGGAGATTGTAACAGTTGTTTGCTAGGAACCTGACTGCACTCCACAAGTTAACAAACCCAGCAGGTATTTGACTACTGTCACACTGGGACGGACAGCTGTCTCTTTTTGTAAGAAATCCTGTAAATCAGCCCTAAAATGGTCGTAAAATGGGAGTAAACAAGTGAACAAAGCAATCCTCAGATCATGCAAATAAGTATCTTTGTTTTTAAATTGCAGAGTTCACTTAGGATCAAAAAAATGCCGAAGGTCAGAAACATCCTGGGACACTGCTTCTGTCAAATCTACATCACTGGACTGTTTCTACCTCCTCACTAAAGATGGTCAGAAAAGAAGCCAAATACAAGTATGAGAGTGAGTTCTAAAAACAAGAAGCAAAATTGTAAGACAGGTATGTACTTGTATTTCTCATTTATATAACAGTTAAGAATCAAAACCAGGAGCAGGATGGCCTTTCATTCTTCTTCTCTTTTTTCTTGCTGCATTATACACAAAGATGTATATCTGTGAGGGGAATGAAACTTGTGTTTGAAAAATCTTTGTACAATGTAAGATGGAGAAGCTCTGTTAAGCTCATTTTATTTCTGGTGTAAATCTATTGTAGTTACGCATAAGTCATTGGAATTGCATGGCTGGAAGGACAGGATCTAAATTCACTATGATACTTGGAGTCTAAAAATAGGTTGGCTGAGATTCTTTTAAATAGAAAAGGAAGGTGAGGAGTGTTTTTATTTGAAGAAATAACTGAGCCAGAGTAATTCAGCTGATTAAGCTCAGTTCATCTTACTTTTCATACTTTGACCAGCACTGGATCATCATAGGGAAAAACAGATCCTTTCCAAGAGTTTCACTGAGATGGACCAAGGTGGAATCAGGGACTTGGACACCTGGAGAGACTGGAATCTAGATCTGAATTTCATTGCTCAGTTCTACAAGCTGAATTGGCGGATCCGAGCTTGAGAGCTAAGCTTGAGATGTAGATATCTTCCACTTGCATGGAAGAAGAACTTCCAGAAGTTGCTGTAGATAAGAGCTGTGGTGTTTCAGCTCATCACCGGTTCATAATGCCATTGTAAGGAGGAAATGGAGATACAGACCAGACTTTCGTTAGAGTTTTAGCCAGTTCTGGAGTATGCTTTTAAACTGAGTCTCCCTGCAGTTCAGTCAAAACTCTGCTCAGGTCCTCAAATGTGAGAATAATCATCCAAAGAGTTTACAGAGAAACTGTGAAGAATTTTAGTGCAGAAATTTCAAGTACAGCCGAAAGGACTATTTTGCTTTTACTTGTTCAATGAAAAGATTCGCCCATTCTGTGTTCAGACAAGAGATACACAAAAATCTCAGTTCTGTGGGCCCTGACTGTGTATCATAATCAGTCTGTGGTATCTTATTATTGTACTGAGTGGGCTACCTTTAGCTCTCAGCAGCTCTGGAACTGAAACCAAATGTTCCCTGTTCTACTTTAGTGGGTCTGCTACAGTCCCCGAGGCACTCCTGCCTTCTGCTGGCTAAGCTGATGTTAGCAGCCTCTTCAGCTCCTTCAGACCAACACAACCCAGCTGTATCCTGCTGTGGGTGGAGAAATTGTACCTCAGTACTATTTGTCTGGAACACGTGCAGTAATCCTTTTTACCTGTAGTGCCATTCTGTTTTCTCAAACAGAAGTTGTGTTCTTGGCAACTGTCATGAAAAAGCTGTGACAATCAAGTTTTATTGACTTTTCTTTCCTTTCATTCTTTCATGCAGTGATGTACTCAGTGACATCTTTTTTTAAGTAATTTTTGTTACTAATTCTTCCTGGCCAAAAATGGCTAACCTTCTTTTCTTAAATGGATGCACAGCACTTGGAAGCATTAATGGTTTGAGGTATGGAAAAGGAATTACTTGAAATTTGTTTCTTATGTCCTTGTTTAAGAGCCCAAATAAAGAATATGAGGTAAAACCACTTTTTTTTAATGTCTCTTTCCAGAAATTAAACTATCTGCCATGAGCTACTTGAATTCACCAAAATAACAGTGATTTTCATGTTGTTCATGTTGTTTTCATGTTTCATGTTGTTGCTAGCATCACAAAATTAGCCAGTGACTGATATATCTGGAAAATGCTCTGTGTCTAATAGTGTTAATATAGAAAAATGATCATTTATAATTTTTGGCTTTGCAGAGAAGGAAGTGTCCTTCATCTGTTCTGTAAGATGAGTCAACGTGCAGCAGCACCTTCTAGAAGAATGGCTTTGTGCTTGTGAATTGCAAACAGCTGGATCTGCCTCACAAATTCGCCTGCGTGCTCAACACCTGAAACTAATCCTTTGGATACTTCACCCATGACTCTTATGAACAATGCAGGGAAATAAGAAACATACAGAAGGACATAGTGATTCCTCAAGTATTGGGAGTCTCCTGGATGACACAGACAGAGAGGTGAGCAGCCTCACAGATCGGGCTTTCAAAAGCTTGTGTGTAGCAGAACTCGAAGACCCTTACAATGAACCGGAACTTTCCATTTCACCTGACTTTGCCCTCCAGTTGTCTGCTAAAATTCACTCAGGGACGTTAAACCATGACATCAAGAAAAGCAATGTCTGTGACAAGGTAACAGCAAAAAACAATGAACATACATTTTGGGCTTCCACATTCCAGCAGTTACCAAGGTGTGCTTCAGAGGAAAAAAGGATTGCTAAAAACAACACCTTTGCTGTGGAAAGGAAATTGAATTTGCCAGTCCCTTGTCCAAGGAACAACAAGCATGTTTCAAAAGTGTCCTCATTGATTAAGACATTTGATAAGTCTGCAGACCAAGGGTCAGGAAGTTCTCTGATAGCAAATAAACAGCCCATTAAGAATAGCTTTCAAAAATATAAAATAAATCATGGCAATGATATTGCTTCCTGGGATGATACAGACATTTTAAGCATCCACAAGGAACTTTCTGAATTTTCTGAGGCTAGTCAAGATAGTCATTGTCTCAGTGGCAAACATGAGCCACAAAGAAGACCTAATAAAATAGACCTGAGTTATGGGGACTCTGATGGTTGTTATCCTGTGCTGATTGAGATGTCAAAAATAGCCAAGTCAAATTTTTCCCATTCTTCTAAGAAGGCTTTAAATAACAGAAACTTGAAACTTAGTGAGCCAGCAAAAAAAGGTAGCTTTCTTCACAGTGAGAATAGTGCTTTTGAATCATGGAATGTTCATAACAAAAAATTGTCAGAAAAGGAGGAATTTGTTAACATAAAAATGAAAAAGGAAGGTCTTGCATACCTGGAAGAATCACCATTTGTTAAAGGATCCCAGACATGTGAACATAAATTGTCACCTGTCATGACCATTGTTGCTAAGAAGAAAGAGAAAGATTTTCAGATGAAGCCAACTCTACAAGAAGCTTCTTTCTCTCTCCGAGTTGTACCTCGGGGTGCCCTCCCTTCAGAAACCAAATTTCCTGTTGCTTTCCCTCCCACACCTCCCCCTAGGAACCATGTACACCAGGGTCCCCCTCGGCCACCCCCTGCCCCACCGGCACTTCCTCTCCCACCCCCCTCCCAGCCCGGCCATGCCTCAACACCCCCTACCCCTGAAGCCCCTCCTGTGCCACCACCCCCAGTCCCAGCTCGACTTTCCCCCACTGCCTTGTCCCAAGCCTCTGTGTCACCCCAGTCTGTGTCCTATAGGATGGTTTCACCCTCACTCAGGTTTGAGACACCCAGTCCACCTCCACCAAAACCCCAGGCCACGTTAACTGAGGACCCCCTCAGCCCCCAGCTGGGCAGCACCTGTCCACCCTGGAGGAGACAGAGGGCTGCAGAAAGGGCAGCAGGGAAGAGACAGGCTGCAAAGGAGAAGGTCACAGACAGCCACAAGACCTCATTGTCTGAAAAGGAGACTGGTGCTGACCCTGGTCTGCACGTGACTCCTCTGGCTGGACAAGCAAACTCCCCTGGGTCGATCAGTCCCTCCTTCAACATCACCCAACTCCTGACGCCTGTCATTCCACCAAAACAGGAGGTGAACACTGCTGAAAGCGAGCTGATCCCACTGACACCTCCGCCCACGGAGAGCACGGCCTCAAGAGACCATGAGGAGAGCACCTTAGACGATTACAGGTCTTGGGATAGTTACAGGCTGACAGCATCGAGTCTGTTATTTAACTTAAAGGATGTGCGTAAACGTGTTAAAAGCATTTATACCCCTTCTCCCCTGTTAAGGGCCTTGGAGGAGAAAAATAAAACAAGGGAAAATATTCAGGAGAGTACAAAAATGGATACTTCATTCTCAGCTTTGCACGATGAAAGTGGGAAAAATATTACAGAGAAAGATGAATTGAGTGATATAGCTTATGTTTTGTCTAGCGGTGCTCATGAAAAGGACAATAAAACTGATTTAACTGGACACTTCACAGGTGACTACCTGACTTTGAGTTCACCCCAGACAACAGAAGACCTTCCATTTTACCAAACTGGAGACAGCATGCAGCAAGACAATTCAAAACACCAAGATCTGGTTAAAAACACAGAGGACAGTGAAAATTTCCCCTCATTCAGACATGAATCAAATGAATCTGACTTAGGGAAACATCAGCAGTATCCAGCACAGAGACCATTCAGTAGAAACAATGTTGATACAAAAGCTGGGCAGCCCATGCAAATTCAAAGTGTGCAGGGTGAGGAAAATGAAAGACAAGCTGCTATTCAGAACGAAAATTTTGCCTTCAAAACACTCCTAAACCAACTCTCACCAGAAGAAGATGAAGCTTACAGTGGCACCCAAACCAACATTGTGGTACCTGGCCATGAAGCACAAGGCAAAAGAAGCACTAGTTCTTCAGAGCAATCCTTCGTCTCCACAGTGGAGCAGCCACTTCAGGAAGAGCCATTTCTGCCCCTGATGGAGCAGACATGCCTCCAAGAAAGCCAGAGGACTGACGGTGAAATGGGTTCAGGAAGTAAGAAAAGACACAAGGAGAGAGGGAAAGAGGTTGGGGAAGAGGAACTGCAATACTGTGCTTGTATCAGCCCTAGTACTGGTGCCGCAGAGAGGAGGGAGGGAAGTGTTACTGGGAATGAACAGAGGAGCTTGATGAAAGAGAAACTAGGGAGAGAGAAAAGGGAAGAGGCCAACAGCACAAATTCTGCATCCGACGATATAAGAGATATGTCCATCCCCAGGCCCGAGGAGCCACAAACACCATCATCTTCAAGCTCAACCAAACCCAGTCTGTTTATGATTAAAGATAACACATTCAGGTCGCCTCAGGTAATACGGGCTGTCAAGCTGCCCCTGCTCCGGTCGTTTTCCCTGGATGATACAGTGAGCAGCAGTTACAGGGAAATGGAACGTAAGTTTATGTCCCCAGCAGTTTACAACAAGCAGCACCGAAACATCTTGCATGCCCAGGAGGTTGGCTGGTGGACATCAAGACACAGAGGGCAGCAGAACGTGAGAGATGGAGCAACTGACAGAGAAAAAGAAGCCAGTGAGCCTGGATCTACTGCAGTAATACTGGATCCCAGTCTTCTGGAAGATACAGAGAGCTTTTCATTTGGAAAACTGACGGAAGAAGATGAAAAGACTTGTATGTTGTTAAATAAGTTTGGGAAAATGAATGAGGAAAGTGTCTGTAGAAGTAAAAAGAAGCCTACAAAAGCAAGACACAGCTTAGCACAGCCAATTATAGGTCTGGAAAATGACCAAGCACAAAACAACCCGAGCTATCCTGCAGAAAGAAAGACAAATTACTTCAAGAATCATCATTTATCTAACCGCAAAGGGGGCTCTTGTGCAAAAAAAATAATCACTAGGGAGACAATTTCCCCTGTGACTGGCTCCATATTAGAGGACCACACTTGTTCTTCCGTATCCCATGATACTTTAGAGGACATCCTGCATACAGAAGGTGCACCAATTTTGTTAGACAATTTTTCATGCTCTGCTATTACAAGCCCCAGGTCAGGAAGCACGATGCACTCTCTTTCTGCCAGTTCATTGTCAGATAAACCAACTCTTTCTGGCCTTAGAGAGACAGAGGATGTTACACACCCTGCCTTGTTGAACATGGCACTAGAGAGGCAAGCTTACATGCCTGCAGAGGAGATAAGTGATTCAGCACAGAGGAATCTGCTTTCTGATGTCGCAGTGGAAGATGAGAGACTGGAGCCCAGGGGACTTGGTGGGAGATCAGCAGGCAAGCCACCCACTGTGCCACCAAAAACAGAAAAGGCTCTGCGTCGGGCTAAAAAGCTGGCGAACAAGAGGAAAAAAGTGCAAGAGCAGCAGAAAAACCATCAGGCTGAGCATACAGATACTGTAGGGAGAAAGCCTACTCATTCTGGAGACACAATAGTATCTGCCTCACCCTTAGGATATTCCCCCCTTCATCCTCCCCTTCACTCAACTTCTACTCCCACAGAAACCACTACTGGGAAATCAAGGCTTGCACCAGTAGCAAGCTCTTCATCCTCTTCAACACAGCGGAAACTCCTCCAAGACCCTGACTCCGGTCAATACTATGTAGTTGATTTACCAGCTGAAGTTAATTTAAAGACATTTTATGACCCAGAAACTGGCAAATATGTTCAAGTCTCAGTCCCTTCCTTGGAACAGAACTTACACCAGTCCACCTCTTCAGAAATTAAGAATTCTCCCTATGCCTCCTACCCTAGATTGCTGCCTTTACCAGCCTCATCGGTGGCAGTGCTGAAATCACCTTCTCAGCTCTCTGAACCTGCCTGGTCAGTGCCTGCTGGACCAGAACCAGCTGAACTACCTGAAGATGGCCAGCAGGACCACAGATACGCTGAGTCTGTGGATACTCAGCCCTACACTGAACCAGCCTCCTACTCCTACCATCAAGATGCTGGAGAAACTCCAGTTCACTTGGGAAAGGATGTGAGCCCAACCCAGCATACTGGCATTGTCACCCTTGCCAATTTAGATGATTTTGCTGCTGAAGGAGTATCTTGAAAGCTGAAGTAAAAAAACATGCCAACTAATGTTTTTAAGAACTGTTTGGACAGACAACATGCACACAAAAGCACATGCAGATTTGATATTTGTACAACACTTTGAATCTCGGTGTGGTTTGGGTGGGAAAGGAAATGAAAGCTGTTCATGTGGAAAGATGCAAGGTAATGACCACTTTGAAGGAAAGAGAAATTGAGTAAGCACCAAATTATCAGTGAGATGAAGGGGCAATGCCAGCTAGACAAATACATTTGACAATGTGAAGCCACTGCTTGCTGCTGCTGCTGCTGCTTTGTCATTAAGAAGGCTGGGAAAGCCAAAGCAAAGTGTCCTATTGCCCAGATGTGCTGAATGATACATGACACAAAATAAAACCTATGAGACCATCCTATGCGACCTAGAACTGATGCTGCATCTACTGAGCTTTCCTCACTCACTGCCTTTGAACTATATATTGACAGGTAGAAAGTATGTGGCTACAAATATGCCATATATGCAAGATCCATTTTTTGCACACGTTGACTGCCCTGATGTCATTGATAAGAAGATTGTATACTGGATTCACAATACAACAGCCATGTCAAAAAAAGCCCTTTTAAACAACCAGAATACAGTTGCAGCTGCTCTAGACTTCTCATATATTTTTGCAGTGCCCACTAACATGCTGCTGAACTCTTCGTATTTCTTGATAACATCCAAATAGGTTCCCCCAGAGTCAGGGTTTATTTATAATGCAACTTAAAACTTCAGGTTATCTTGATACTTGGCCTGAAATATTTTGGTAAGGAGCAAGGTTGAATGAAATCCCACAACAGTGTTTAATTCCTTGTTAGGTCAAGAGGTTCTTTGCTATTGTAATTTAAATGTATTTTGTTTTGTTTTCAGGCTCCCGCTGAAACATGGAATTAACTTTTAAAACCTGAAAAATGTACCTTATTTTGATCTTGTGAATTCTGTGATTTAATGCAAACAAACAAACAAAATATTCAGAACATTCAAAGTATTAATTTCTAGAGAAGTGCTTCTTTGAAGTATCACTTTTCTTTGAAAGATCTGTATGAAAATATCACTCATCCTTGCATAAGCTCTTTTTTGTCATCATAGTTAATGAGGAAACCTAGGTGAAAAGATGGAAAAATTGAATGTATTCTGCCTGCTTGTAAATATCTATATTTGGAGTATTGGCTTAGTTTTTTCTGTCTCATTTTAATACTGTTTTCCCCAGTTACAACTGAAGTGTAGAAGCTCTAAGGAAGAGCTTCAGTGAAGCAGCTCTTGACTTCCTGAAAAGAAAGGGATGAATCAGGCCTTTTGTTAATGAATACAGAGTGGAGACAGGACTCAGCCACTGCTCCAGTGTTAATATTTATGACAGATTTTCTTCAGTAAATTTCCCAGGACTGAAGCCTCTCTTAAGACACAGACCCACTTTGTGGTTTTTCTCCTTTCTTAACCTGAATTCAGGTTAACCTGAACATCAGCCTTCCTCTATTCCTGACAAGAGCCATGAGTTCACAACCTGTCCTGGTCCCACCAGACAGTTCCTTTCATCAGTGCCACTTACTGAAACATTTCTCTGAGACAAACACTAAGGGCATCACTTCATTGATTACAATGGGGTTTAGATTCAGCCTTTAATGATTTTCTAAGGTTCACTTCACCTGTTACGCATTTTGTGATTTGGTAGGTTTGATTGCAACAGAAGGTGGGTTGTAAATGAAGAAGCTTGTACTGGTATGGTTTGGGCTTTAAGCATATCCAGCCAAATGCCCATATTTGAATAAACATTTATTGTTCAGTTTTGCACCCCAGAAAGTTTTCAACACCTGACTGAATAAAGCCCTGAACAACCTGGGCTGTTCCTAGAGCTGATCTTCCTTGACCAGGAGGTTCACCCAGAGATCTCCTAAGATCTCTGCAGCCTGAATTATCCTCTGATCCTGTTCTGAAAACAATAAAATTTAAATAAATTTTGTCTTGGAATTCAGCAAATGCAGTCTCCCCTGAGAAAAGGCTCCTTTTGAAAGATTTTTTTAAAAAAAAAAAACTGAAAATCAAGAGTGTTTCAGGAACAAGAATTAATTTTCAAGCTGCTAAATTAAGGGAAGTGACTCTTACTATAAATATTTTTTAGTCACAAGTATTTTGTAAACTGATGGTGCTGTTCATGTTGCACTTCTCTGTTGCTGTCACTCTATACAGTATAATTGCTATCCAGTATAGAGCAGCATCTCATCCACATGTTAAAATATAGATAAATAGATCCATTACAGTTTTCCATGGTGCATTAGACAAAACCCTACAAAATCTTAAAGCCTATCAGAGTGCACAAGACTTTTTTTCTTGTGTGTGCATGTGTTATTACAAATTTTAACACCCTTAACAGCCACAAGTCAAGAAGTAGTTCTCAGAGGACAGGATAAAAGCTTCCATTCCAAGGGAAGACTATGGATATGAAGTATCTGTGCACAGATTTAAAAATTAATGGTAATTTGATGACAAAAACGTATATGAGTATTTAAAAAGGTCTCTTTTACTTCTTTAACTGTCATTTGTTTTGTAGACATACACACTTCTGCACCCTTTTATCAAGGGTTTCCTAAAACTCTTATTGTGGAGAGTGGGATGCTCCATTATACTGCTTCCAGGTATGTGAGGAAAGCAGGGTGTGTTTTTCCCTCTGCTGTTAAAGTGAGCTGAAACATGGGCTTGTAAAGAGGAGCCAGCCCTAACTGGGATACCAAATACATTTCAAGTAAGACTTCTTCATTTCCATCAGCCCTTTCTGCTAGCTTCAGGGAGCTGCATTCACAGTGGACTGAACAGCCCCAGAGGAGAATTTGTAGCTGAATTGCTATAGCAAGGTGAGTGTCTTCTCCAAGGTAACAAGTGACAGCACTTGAGGAAATTACCTGAAGTTGCTCCATGTAGGTTTAGATTAGACATTAAGAAATATTTTTTCACTGTAAGGGTGCTGAGTCATTGGAATAAGTTGCTTGGGGAAGTAGTGGAATCACCATCCTTGGAAGTGTTTGAAAGGTGTGGGGAACACTTGGTGCTAGGTTAACTCTTGGCCACAATGGTTCTAGAGGTCCTTTCCAACCTTAATGATTCTGTGGTTCTGTGCAATTAAACAAAGCAGGGAGTTTTGAGAATAGGTAAGAGAGTGGTTCTTGTCTTAGATGATGTTAGAAAAGTATTTCTCCAGGTCCCAGCCTGGTATTGAGCAGGAACCCATCAGCAAACCCATCTCTGGCCTAGACCATGCTGCTGGCCAACTTCCTGCTAGGCTGTGGGAGTGTGTGAGTACAAACACACTCATGCATCCCCATAAACAACCCTATATATGTATGTAATATACCTGTGAAACTGCCATTTGCATATCAGTATAAGAAAGCAGTAATGCCTGTGAACACAAAATATTTGTGGGTTAAAAGGAAGACAGATGGCACCTTTTCAAATAACAAATATTTTTCATTCCTTGCCCTATTCTGTTTGTGTTTGTTGGGGGGATGTTTCCATTTCTGCTGTGGGAAACAGGACTGGACAAGGTCTCAGTACTAGGAGGAATGAGAGCTGTAAACTGACCCTTTTCTTTGGGGGAGGGTGCTATGGGAAACGTGCAATAATCATGAAAGCAGTTGTAGGAAAGCACTGTTTTGTGACAGTGACATTAAGTTGTAGGTTTAAGAGGTGTTGAGGCAAACCAAGCCAAATTCTTCCTTGCCAGCAGACTGTGGTTAGGACTAAGGAACAAGGTAGGTTCCTGGCATGCACAAAAGTACAGCAGGCTGAAGGGAACAGGGGCCACTGTTTTCACTGTTTCCTAATCCTGCACGTGGGCTTAGTGCATGTTGCATTTCTTGGTGCCCTGAGGCTCCTTTACCGTGGTGATTCTTCTTTGGCAGATGTGACTGAGGCCAAACTTCAGTCTTTGATTCTAGGGCCAGAACTGCCTCCCTCTGAATCTCCATCTCCTTGTGGGGTGACTGCAATGCCAACAGTCCAGCTGTCACATGGCAGACTTGGGACTGCCATCCCACAGCCATGGCTCTGTCCCAAGGGCTTGAATTTCCTTGTGGAAAATGCTGGATCTGTTTTAGAGAGCTTAGTTTAATTGAAATGACCTACATGCATAGATTTTTGTCAACTCCTCCTTAGGTGTTCAGTGCCTTCCTAAGTCAGCTATCCAAGAAGATATATGTCATCAGCACGTTCCATCAATGCAACTGTATTTGCAAATAAGTAATTATTTATTAATAAATAAAATAAATGGGACTTGTTTTATAATACTGGAATGACTTCTAGCAAGGTTTTTCGTTGTAATTATGTGTCATTGTAATTTTATCTCCAGTTATGCTGGCAGAGAAAGTTGAGAACAAGGAAGTGTATGTGTGTGTGTGTGTGTGTGTGTTTGTGTGTGTGTGTGAGTGTGTGTGTGTGTGATATACAATTAAAAGATCTAGGAGATGACTGGATGCAGGGCTTCATCCCCCTTCCTCCCTTTTCTAAAGAGAGGAAGGAGGAGACTGGGCAGAAACACCTCTGGTCCATGACCCCTGCAATCATTCCCACCCCTCCCTGTTGCAAGGGCACTGGTTGGTTTGGCCAGAGGACCATGGAGATATGGTGCCAGCACCCAGTCCAAAAGCACTGGGAGATGATCACTTGCTGACAGTGAAAGTGCTACTGTAATATGAATAAAACAGACCATAAAGAGAATAGTTGGCTGATTAGGTTTTTAGCAGAAATACATTGACAGGTTTGCATATTTGTATTTGGGGGATATACTCTGTTTCATTTCTGAGTAAATAAAAAACTCTAAGTTTGATCCCCTCTCTCACTGAAAAGCAGCATCAGAAGCTGGTGATACTGCACATGATGGGCTCTAGTGAATACATATAAATGTGTAATTTGGAGCAACTGGTGTACATCAGTCATTTTTATTAAAGAAACTGCTTCAGAGCCTTATAGGAGATAAAGAACATGGAACACTTGAGTAAATTGAACTTCAATGTGTTTGGGGTTTTTTTGTGAAAACCTCATTATAACAACAGAGGTCAGTGATTAATTTATTTTGTCTTTAGGATGATTATTCTGGTCTTATGATGATCTCACATTTAACACTCTCCCCTGATACTAAATATAATATTGTAATTACGGGGTTTAAATGGATAGGGAATGGCTGAAAATGACCTGTGGTCTTCCCTTGCTTCTTTTTGATATTCTCAAAGTTTTCATGATGTTGATTTCTCACATTAGATAGTCAGATCTTTGGTACTATATGGCCAATTAGAGACTTGCTTCTAATATGCTATTGAACATACTTAGAAAGCAGCATTCCAATAGTGCAGAAGAGAAATCATTTATGTCCCAATTGACTAAAGCTCTGTGTTTTTATTAAAGCAGATTTAACTCAAGCCTTGGGGGAAGCAGCTCACAGTGGTAAAAGATAAGCACTTTCCTGTGTCCAAGTCCATATTGAATAAATTGAGGCCTGGGGTACTTTGAAAGAAGGAGAGAGGAAAGACTCTGTGAGAAGCAGGGACAATCTTTGAAATCCTTCTAGCAGTGGAAAGAAGAGGGAATCCAGCAAAAAGTAAAAACTGTTCAAAGCTGGAGCTGCACTGTGAAAAGCCAGGGCTTGTCAAAGGCAAGCTGCCTGACAGGCTGACTCTTCCCTATGCTGTCATGGAGCTCCTCCTGCCCACTGGCATTTAGAGCCTCATCTTAGCACAGCTGTCCTTTTGCTTGCTTAAAGCTGGCATGGGGAATGGCAGCATTCAGAGCACACAAAAATGGAATTATTGCCATGCCAGCATTGTCAGCGTTGTCACCAACGTGAAGCATTTCACGTGAGCTAAGGTGGCCTTCTTCAGGACCATTCTTACATCGACTGGGCAGAGATGACAGACTCTGAGATAAACATTGATCCTTCTTTCTATTCCCAGCGCTGATAAGCTGCAGGGGATGAGAACTGGATCTGGTCCAATCTCTTTGATTGCCCTGAGATTCCTGAAAGTCTGTTGGGAGAATCAGTTTCTGCTGGTGAGCACTGACTGCCTGGAACAGGTGCCCTGAGACTGCATCCCTTCCCACGGAATGTGGGTGAAAACATTCCAGCAATATCCCATGCCAAAACCGTCTGTGCTATTTGAAATTTCCAAAAGGAAAAGTTGGAAAAAGAGTGACAACAGAATTTCCTATCACTTTATACTAAGGCAATGTTATTGTCGATAGTGCACCCATACCTGTGTAGGGATGGATCTAGGTGTATCTACATGTCTGTATAAACTTGCAGCATTCATGTTCTTCTGAAGTGTTTGGACATGGTCTAAACAGTGCCCTCAAGCTAGCTAGTCCTGTCTAGCTCCCACTTGTCTGTGCACATGTCCTATTACTTACAGCTCCCACAAGGAAGCTCCATTTCCCTCTGGGATTCCCATGTTCCACTACCCCAGGGAGATGAATGTTTGCTTCTTTCCACATTCTTGCCAGGGCTAGGGTTGTACTTGGGATGCCCCCACACCTCCATCTCTCTGCTGGAGGTAGGGTGGTCACCCACACATTGTCCCCTCTTGCTAAAGGTGGTGCAGTTGGTGAGTCCAGGGCCAGGCAGAACTGGAAAGGGGGATGGAGATGCCCAGATACTCTGTCCCCCTCTTGAACCCCCTGTATTATCAACCTGAGACACAAACACTCCTCCTGGCAACGGGATCACTCCCAACAGTCCAACCCAGCAGCCCTAGCACTGATCCTGCTGCCATAAACTCCTTTCCTTAGCAACCAGATGAGCCCTAACATAAACGAAGCAGGATCAAATACCAGCTGGAGTACTGGACCGAAAACCTACTGACACAGCCAAGTCACATGACTGCACCTTAGCAGGAATTTTCCAATAAAACCGCTTCTTTGCTGAAAGAGACACTGCTTTGACTGAGCTTGATGGTAAAATACCTACATATTTAGAGCGTTAATTTTTGTTTTAATCTGATGTCTTCCCAGATGGGAAATTTGCTCACAAATTATTGAGAAGTACTCATTTGCTTACATGGATGTCTAAGTAAGCAATCCTGGACTTTTTCTTTTGGACTGTAATAATTTTTTAAAAAAAAAATTTAAAAATGTTAAAAAAATTTTTTTAAAGATATAATTAATTTAAAAACATATATTATGAATTTGAGGATAAATAAGAGGGCTTCAAATATCACAAAGTGTTTTTTGGTTTTTTTTTTTAGTTTGTTGAGCTGAATGTTGTTTTGACTTTATTTCCCCCAGTGTTTGGTTGGTTTATTTGTTTGTTTTGCTGTTGGTATTGGTGGTTTAGGGGTTTTTTTTTGTCTATTTTGGAACGAAGAAGAGTCATCAAATGGCTGTGCAGGGGGAACAGTTTCTGGTGCAGTCACAGACAAGCGCTCGCAGCAGCGGCTGTCGCGATGAGCCGCAGTGGAGCTCCCTCTCGTGCTGGACTGTCCGTGGCTCTGGATACAGCTGCTGTGTCACCAGCTCCACGCTGGCAACCTCCTACTAGCACTGCAGGGAGGCTATTCCCACTGCTGGCTAGCTGTGCCTTCCAGTGCTAGAGGAACCTGGTTGTAGATTTATATCCTTCTGGGCATCCGAGACATGTTTAATGGAGTGCAGTATCTGCATCCCTGGGGTGTACTGAGGGTTATCTCATCAGGCTCAGCAGGACACCAACCACGTGCTTTACACTTGTCAATTTTTACGCTTCTCATCTGAAAACCCCGAACAACAGCCTGCTCCTTGGAAAGCTTCCAGCGGCTGTGAGAGTGGCACTAACACAAGGGTACACCCGCACTGCACTTGAAGCTCTCCTTCAGCGGGTAAATACCCTTCATGCTGGAAATAAAGCTGAGCTGGGGGTAAAACAAAGGTTTTATATCTGTACTATGGGCATTTCCTGGAGCAGCACGGTCAGCCACGGTCACATCCGCCCAACCGGGCTGAGCAGGAGGAATCCTGGGGTGCTCAGAGGCCACAGATAAAACCACACAATCCCAATTTGTGTGGTTTTCAGCATGGCTAATCCTAAATCCAGCCTGGATCAAACGAAACCCTCACTCATTCCTAATTCCCCCAAATTAATGCTCACATTGCTGTGTACATGCTGTTAGCTAACAGAGCACACAGCAGACATCATCCTCCATAACATGCTGGGCTGTTTAGAAGACTTTTTGCTTCTTGCTGCTTATTGCCAACTCTGCCAGCACAAGTATTTCCCAATCTGCCTGTAGCAAGCCCAAAATGTTCCCTCCTGCTGATAGAAATGTGAGGAGCTGAGCTCAGGAAGAGAGAGAGTCCCTGACAGAGCAGGGGGAAAGGATGAAGAAAACAATGTGCTTAAAAGGTGTCATCATTTACAAAAGTAGCATCTGGCCAATGTAATTCTCCCTTGTGGCAGGTGCTAAGTGCCTTGTTAAATTGTGGGCCAGATATATCCATCTTTACATGCAGGAGCTATTTTGGTTGGGCACATGTAAGTCCCAGAGACAGAGAGTATGGAATCAAGGTTAAACTGCCTTCCCAAGCAGTGGCAGCAGGAATAAGGTGCTTCCAGTACCTTAGCTCCTACTTTTCTGGCTCATTAATGTAGTTCTAAAATCTAATTAATAACAAAGACTGTCATTCATTCCCTCCTCTCCTGCTTTCACAGTGTCTGGCAAATTGTGTATTGAAGAACAGGAGAGTACCAGTGTCACTAAATTTTAATATGTATGTGATTCATCAAGCTGGTGAAAAAGCATAGCTCTTAACTCAGTGGATTATCTTCTTTAAAGTTTGATTTCATCTGAACTGGCTAGGAATTTGAAAATTTTCAGAGTTTCCTACAGAGGAAGCCAAGAGGCTTCCCAGCCTCAACAGCTCTGTAGACACTTGATATTTGTACAGAGAAGCAGATCTATAACATTTTAACAACAACAAAAACAAAAAAAAAAATTAATCAAACCAACCAGCTACTTCAAAAGAGAATTTCAGCCAAGATCTAGTGACCCCCTTGTGTGGGACAAACAGTACCACTTGCATCTTCAGCTGTACTGCTACTCATCTCTGTGATGAAGTGATGCAGACAACCCAGATGGCATTGTGAAGCAGGGTGACACTGAGTGGGTCCATATGTCTTGTGTGCTGTCAGTGAAGGGACAAGTCACCTCTCAGGCTATGGAGACTCATTCAATTACTAAAAGAGGGGACCCCTTAGCAAGAAATATCTCCCTTCAGAATGTCTGCATTTAAAGAAACCAGAGTAACTTAGGGCTCAGGT